CAAAAACCCTAATAAACACAGAATGCGTTAAAAAAGAGTACACTGATTGGAAGTTTGAGCTATATTTCTGAATTTTGTTGAAACAAAAAATACATGAATGTCAAAGGCATATCAAACATGCTCTGATATGTGAAGGGGGCTAATATAATTATTTTATTAAAGTTACCATTGCTTAAGTGTCCTTAGTTTTACAAGGGGATTTATTATTCCTTTGGGAAAGTATGGGTTCAGAAGTGTCAAGGGATATATGTTGAACTGACAAATATGAAATGTTAACTCGTATGGGTAATTAATTTTTAAAAAATAATAAATAGATCAAAACTCAAAACCTTTTCCCCGAAATTACAAACTGTACCTGGGACCGACGTTATAACCGGATGATAATCATTTTGTAAAAGTTTTTTTGTTTTTAAAAAAAGAAGAATCACGTGCTAGAAAGGGTGTGTGTGTGTGTGTGGGGAGGGGGGTATGTTTCTACACAATACACAAACAACAAAACGGTCCTATCACATTTTTTTTCCTTCTGACATTCACATAATCATTTAATGCACTGAATAAGTTATCGTCGTTGCAGTTCGCTATCCGTGTATGGAACAAAATTTGAAAACTCCAGTTTTAAGGCATTTGATCTTTGCACAATCTGAAAAAGCAGCTCTCTCGTTTTAATTTGTATCAATAATACATGACAACTTAGATATAAATTGTAAAACCCAAGAGGCTTAAACGAGTATTAGATACATTTTTTAAAAGTTGCAAAAAAGTTTTTTTCTCGAAAGTACCTGAATGCTCCATAACTGACTGACTTGTATGATAGTATCCTAGACTGTCTACTCTGACATATTTATTTGTAGCTTAAAATTACTATGGAGCGCACCATTTGACTCAATTAGAACCAAATGAAAGACAAACAACAAAAATAAAAGAGGTGGGGGGGGGTCAAGGGCAAGGGGAAGGTGTACTGACACCGGTGTTTTGCTCTTCGTTTTAGTTGCGCTTTAATAAAAGTTTTACGGCACTTACAGCACAAGATCATATAAGAGCCGAAGATCAGAAGTGTTACAAGATAGTAACAAACACGGTAAAGAAGGATTAGAGATAATGACGATAGGTATGTTTGATAGGAAAGAAGGGGGAAGCCAAAACACCCGCCAACCATCCACACAGCTTTTTAGCTTGAAAAAAAAAATGAACATGAAGTGTGGGCTTACTAAAATGCAGTCAAGTTCGTTTTTTTTTTTAAGGAGTGGG